AAATTAAAATAAATACTCTGAAAAACTTATGGCTCTAAAAATAATACATTCAATGGAAATGTGAATTAGCCGAACGGAGCCAGTTCTACCAACTAGTGCAAAATAGAAAAAAAGGTAATCGAAAATCTTGAGCAAATCAATGTAATTATTTTCAAAGATTCTCTTGCTTTCATGCGAATTGGGTTGACTGAGCTTTGCTAAATGGTGGTCAAAAGAGGCAATATTCGAGTTATGCGTCAGGAGCAGCAGAGTATATCATTCTACTTTCGAAAATTTGAGAAATTACTTCTGGGCCAAGAGTTTGAATCCTCTTCGCTGATTTTTGGAATCCAATGGGATACAAGGACATAATGCACTTTACGGAAAAAAGCAGGCTTCTCACCTTGAGCGAAAGTTGATAGCTAAACGAGCTAAGGTTGTCTCTTATTGAAATGTTCCACATATTCTGTATTTCATTGCGTAATAGAAAAGACAAAAATATTAAAGATATAAAAGTGGAAATTAGAAGATCTAAAGTGCACAGTTTTCCCATGCTTTCCAATGGTTAAAAAGTACAAATGCCATCTGATCATAAAGTTCCTGCAGCTTTTTTTCCAAAAAACTGATTTAGTAATCTATTGGGAAGCATCTTCTTCCCGAGAAGAATTACTCGACAAGTTTTTCTGGTTACCCAAGTTTGCAGAGTCCCGTGGGAACATCATAAATCAAACGACATTGACAAGAGCTTCCGACAGAACATGGACATCAACGCCCAAGAGTAGGTGAGATGGAATTTTTATAGATAAATATTGTTAGAACTTACTCGTTAAATAATTTCTGTAATCGTTGAGTTGTATTTCCTTTTATGTACACTAAATATTCAGAATTATTGAAAGCTAGTGACATGATCTCGTTGACCCGACGGGAGCGATTCCGCGCTACACGCTGAAAGCAAATATCATCGAAGAGATTACAACTGAAGAGTATAATTTTCCGATTAAACATTTCCTTAGGAGGAATGATGCACTAACCTCGCTCCATTGCTCTTTTAGCCTGTTCTGATACGGGCCCTCAGCGACAAGAAAAATGAAAGCCCCGAGAGT